TAATAACATTTCTGTATCTGTAGAATGGGTCTGTTTTATGTTTTGTCTTCTCAATTCAGAGGGCCCCCTGCCTGTTAATTATTTGGATGAAAAAGTTGAAGCTATGACCTTTAAACCAGAGAACTAAAGCTACAGAATTTCCTTTGCTTTTCTTACTGCATACTACAGAGCTCTGCTCCAGCTTTGGAACATGTCTCCAGCAAATATCATTAACAGTCGCTGTCTGTGGTTTTGTATCCCTGCTCTAAATGCGCATTTATCAACATATTTCTTCTGTGTATGTTTTTGTCAGCTAATCAGACAATAAAGGGATAAATGTTTTCTGCTAAAATAAAATGCTCATTTCAATAAATGTTCCAATAAATCAGTCTGTTGAATAACTGACTCTCTGTTAATTTACTATTAGAAGGAAAATAATTTCATCTAGAGGGTTTTAGGTGAAAGTAAACAATTGACCATTAGGGGGCGGTATCATACCATGAATGCAGCCTGTCAAGGCCCCAGCAAGAAAAGACAGAAGGTCTCTTCTGTACTTTGTTATAATGTGTGATTGTTTAATTTGATCCTCATCTAAAGGACATGTTGTGTTTGTTTTTTGTTTTTAACGTATAATGGACCTAGCGAAGGATTTGTTTTTTATTGTTTGGATAAAACTACGACAAAACTAAGCTGAACAAGTCAAGAAATCAAACAACTTGATTGGCTCCAAGGAGAGCGGAGACAGAAGACACTGGTTTTATTTAGGTAAACCTGCTGACTAGGTTAGCTTTGGGAGAATCTTACAGTGGTGACAGAATCAGAGGTTTAGAAAACAGAGTTTTCAGTAAATCTGCTTTGTGAAGCAGGCCTCAGAGGATGTGCTGTAATTAGTAGTCTAGCTGTACAAAAAAAAAAAAAAGAAGGGATGATGGAATTTGTTATTTTTTTTTAAGCATGCCTAGCCTAATTGATATAGTCTATTAACCTAAAGCAGCGATCATTGACCCTGACCAAGGCACCTTACAGTAGGCTATCACTGCTCCTACAGAGTTAGGGACTAATTTTCCATTGAGATCAGCTTCATAGTCATGGTAGGACACTTCTTTGATTTTATTTATTTTGCTCAGGATACTCATAAGTAGCCTGGGTGCCATTCCGAACTTAGTCCCGCCCACAACGTTTGAGGTCGGGAAG